TATCTATTGTAATTATGTTGGGGTAGAGGGTGTCACAAGAATTAAATACCTAACTATACATTTTAGAAGTAAAATTATTTATCAATTACCATCTTTTCCTTTATCAATATGAGAAGGCAATTATGATTATTTAAATTCAAAATATTGCTAAAAATATTGTAATATTTTGATTCACTAAAATAGATTATATTATCTTTACAAATTATTACATTTGTATATAATCTTTTAAAATTTATAAGAGATTTTTTTTATGGCAAAATAATTTTTCAAAATTCTAATCTAATAAACATCCTATATTATAATCTAATGAATTATAACAAAATAATAAATAGATTACTAAATATCTATAAAATTAAATAAATGAATTGAATTTGATTCATTGTTTATTTTTATTATCATAGATGAATTTATTTATAGATAAATTAAATGAATGATGAATAAATAAATTTATTTATTATCTAATATGTGACTAATAACTTTTCTATATTTTGAACAAAAACAAGCTTTCTAATTTTCTAAAAAAAGAAGAAATTACTTAAAAGAAGTCTTATATTTTTGAAGATTATCTCATACATCCATAATTTATTTTGTTATAACTACCAAGATATATATATATATTTTCCATCCAGGATCTTATCTTAGTTGCATATCTTGGGCCATACCCTAGTTCATCAAAACCCAGAACCCGCTAAACTATAAATAAGCCTCGCACAAGGCACAACACTATTGTATGATTCACAACTCAGAAAGTCAGAAACTCTTCTTGTATTCTCTTTGATCATTCTTACGAATTTTTACCAACCCCGAAGTTTTTCTCGCGAGGTTTTCACTACTCAGGTTTGCTTCTTACACGCGAAAATCTAAGTAATTATCCTTTTAGGGTTTATCATGGGTGATCTGCGAGAGTATACGTTCTCTCCGATTTCTTTGATCTCGTTGAAGCTTTACCCGCTTCCTTGGTGGAAATATAGAGTTTCAGTACTAGGGTTCCTTTTATTTTATTTATTAGTGATTTCTAACGGATCGGTGGTGCCGTAATTTGGGGGTTTGGGGGTATTCTCGATCGACGTTGCTGAATAAGGTTAAGTTATTGCTCTTTGGTCCAATTCTGTCATGGGTTTTGATCTGGATGCACTTGATCCTCCTCGATCGACTCGATCTGATGTAGTTTTGTTTTGTGTTCATCACTTGCTGTACAATTATTTATTTTGGTATTGGGAAATTTGGGACCGAAGAAGTTATTTGGGGAGTGGATCTGGATGTACTTGATCTTACTCGATCAACTTATTCTGATGTACCAATATAAATAATTCTGATGCACTTGCTGTACAATTGTTTATTTTGGTATTGGAAAATTTGGGACCGAAGAGGTTATGGGTTTATGATGGGGAGTGGATTCTACGGCTTGTATTTTACTGTTGATATAATGAAAGAAAGCATGAGCTATGGAGGAATTTACTGAGAGGAACGGCACCTGATTTGGGATGCTATTGTAATGTTTTTTTTAGAGTATCATGGATGTAAAATTTGCGAGAAGGAATGAACGAATTGGTGGGACAACATGTGTCTATTGGCTAGCTGGGAGATGCAACAGAAATCCTTGCAGGTTCTTGCACAGTGGAACACCCTCACTTCATACTACCTATCATAATTCCAATACTGCTCATAGATATGGAAAAAGGACTCATTCCTCATCTGAGAACACCCCCAGATATGACAAAAAGTCAGTGTTGGTTAGAAAAAGTGAAGACAGAGATGGAACGAGTGTTGCTAAGGCTTCCAAGAAACCATCACCATCATCAACTGTATGTAAATACTGGATAAACAACAATTGTGTCCATGGTGAAAAGTGTCAGAATGTGCATTCATGGTTTTGTGGTGATGGGTTTTCCATATTGGCAAAGCTTCAACAGCACAAAAAGGTACTTATCACTTAAACCACCATGTAGTGTTATAAAATTCTTTGGTAATATATTTTTAGTACAATAATTAGATCGAAATTGATATGTTTCTTAATTATCTTTTGACTGTGTTTTATTAATTAGTAATTAGAACTAGAGTTTTACAATGCAACCATGCACTATTTAATTTGGTAGCAATCAATAGCCCTCATAATCGAGTGTAACCCAGCGTGCTTTTTGAAAATTTCTCTTCCTGAGTTTTGTAGGAAATGCTAGAATTTGAGGCTCTGTTTCATGTTAATATTTTTGGAGCAAGGTTATTGAATTGGGATTCGAATTGTGAATTGCCGAGCTAATTTCTGAATCGTGAATCATGATTTGCATCGAATAGATATGAGTTTGTGAAACCTTTATTATAGGAGAATGGAAACGGGGCAAGTAAATAGCTAAATAGAGTATATACCTTAAATGAATAAAAAAAGAGTATATGCGTTGAATGTGTTTGTGACAAATTGAGTAATGGAATAATCAAATAGGATGAGTTCAAAAGTGTTATTTCAATTTCTTTTTATTTAACAGTTTAAGCTTATATGACTTTTCAATTCTTTTAATGAAAATTGTTGAAAGAAAGGTCAAAAAAGAAAAAAATAATGATTTGTTGAATCGGATTAATGATGCAAAATTGTATAGATCATTCATATAATATAAAATACAAAGTCATTTTAGATTATTCTTATGATATGTATTGCTAGGTTGTTGAATTCGAGTTGTATTGAATCGTGAATTGTAAGATTTTGATAACTATGCTTTGGAGTAATGAAATTAAAGCTTTTGACAACAGGTTATCACTGGCATTGTGCTTCCTGTTGGATCCGACAAACTTTATTCTGGCTGTACTGATGGGACAGTTTGTATATGGGACTGCCATACTGGTCAGTGTGTTAGAGTCATAAATCTTGGTGCTGAAGTCACATCTTTAATCAATGAGGGGCCATGGATTTTTGTTGGTTTAAAAAATGCTGTCAAGGTAAGCTCTTTTCTGTCCTTGTTTTGTTTTGTAGTGATGATAACGCCTTAATTATAGATTAGTACATGCAAACTGATTACATGTCTGTATTGTTGTGAAGGCTTGGAATATTCAGAACATTACGGAGTTTACTCTCAATGGACCTAAAGGAAGAGTCCTTGCCATGACTGTTGGCAATGATACACTTTTTGCTGGAGCCGAGGTAACTAGTCATACTATAGTTTATCGATATCTAATTCAGAATCTTCAACCTGTTTTATCTGTATTTAATTGGAAAGTTTTGTTTTTTCATCAGATCCAGAACACTTTTTAAACATTTTTTCTGTCGTCAATTAATATATGATGTATCATCTGATTATTTAAAATTTCAGGATGGTGCCATTGCTGCCTGGAGAGGAAGCTCTGAAGCTAAGTCTCCTTTTGAACTGGTTGCTTCACTAACTGGTCACACTAAAGCAGTGGTTTGCCTGACTGTTGGAGGAGGCAAGAGGCTGTACTCAGGGTCCATGGACCACAGCATAAAGGTATTTCTGTTGTCCAGTCAATATGGATATTCTATTTTCCTTTATTAACAAGTGAAATTTTTTCTAAAAAGAAGACATGTAATTTTCCTGAACTGCACTGGACAAATCTTTAATCATCTGATTATCAGATCTTGTTATCTTATTTTCTTCAGGCCTGGGACATGGACACATTACAGTGTACAATGACACTCAATGAGCATACTGATGTAGTCACATCCCTTATTTGTTGGGACCAATTTTTGTTATCAAGTTCATCTGACTGCACAACTAAGGTCTGGGCTGCTTTTGAAGAGGGAACATTGAAAGTGACATATACACACAAAGAGGAAGATGTAAGTTATTTAACCACTATAACATCTGTGCATAAATAAGAAATTGATTTTATGTCAAAATATCATTTGGTTGTATTTTACTTTGTAGAAACCAAACTGCTATTTCTTGTAATGCTCATGAAGGAGTCAGTTGATTCGCTAAATTGATATTAATTTATTATTTTTATTACAGGGTGTTGTTTCGCTTTTTGGGATGGCTGATGCAGAAGGCAAGCCAATATTGTGTTGCTCATGCAGAGACAGTTCAGTTCGGTTGTATGAATTGCCATCGTAAGTAAACTTGAATTTCCTGTTATGTAACATGCATTGTAACATTACATTTTTCCCAATTGTTACATCCCCTGATTATGTGTATTTTTACAGATTTTTAGAGAGGGGTCGTTTATTTGGTAAGAAAGAGGTTGCATCAATTGAGTTAGGTCCTGGTGGGCTCTTCTTCACCGGAGATGGGACTGGCTTGCTGACGGTGTGGAAATGGTTGGAGCAACCCAACGTGGCATCCTCTTGAGTTGTGTTCCTATTCTCATGATTCATGAACTTCCCGGATATGATTTATGTTACGCATTGCCTCCTCTTGAGGCACGTGGGACAATAGTGAACTTATTTCTCTTAAGCTTTGTAAAATAGAAATTTATATCACATGAAAAATTCCAATTCAGTTTTTCTCATTCTTCTCTACTTTGTTCATTCTTGTTACCAAATGTAATCAATCGTCTTGTACCTTCATAAATATACAGATAAATTTTTATGTTGAATTATATCGTTCTTACAAAAATTGGGGAAAATAGCAAGAAAATTTGAGAATGCACATGGCTCCTAATCCTAATTCGTATTATTGCATATTTCTTTTAATTTTTAAAATATGATTTTCACTAAGTTTATAATTATTTAACAACAGTGTAAAAAGATCTTTACACTATTAGCATATAGACTATTTTTCTCTTGTAAATGTCAAGTCATGAGATAGATTATTTTATATTAATATATTCATACATGTATGTCATTTTATCAATTAACCGTTTGTCATTGTTAGTTAATTGTTGATATGCGTGTTCATTATTGAGAATTGATGAGATTACTTTTCATTTGAATCGATGATATTGCGTGATAATGATGATATACGACAGGGAGAGTAATGATCAAAAATTTAAAATTGCATTTCACATTTTTAACTTTTAATTTTTCTTTAAATATTTTTTTCTTTAAAATAAGCTTTATAAAGTGAGTATTTCTCCTGTGCAAAATTAGTAATCCACTATTATAATCAGTTTTACCAAATATTACTCCATAATTTACCTAGTATATATATATATTTAAAGAAACATACATGTTCTCAACATGATGGCAAACTTTTAGTGACATACAATTCACTTGTAATTAGCAAGTATTAGTGTATTATGTATGATTATTTTAAATATAAATTAAAATATTTATAGAAAGTTTGATAATCTATAAAATATTTAATTGATAAGAAAATATTAAATTAAAATTGAGAATAATATACATTTGAAACCATAAATTAACGAAAGTAAAGAAACTTAATATCAATTCTACAAAATGTGAAAGTTAAAAAGACATCACATAATCAAAAGTGATCACTACTATAATGCTCCCTGTGATTAAATTTATTCTGTTCTCTCTTCAAATCTTTTTATAACTTAAAAAATAAAAAATAAAAAATAAAAAAAGACATCAATTTATAAACACACGTCAAGATACACATTGTAATTGAATACTTACGTTATTATTTCATCTCCCTCCAAAATCTATAAATCTAAAAAGATTACCATTATCATTATCGTTATAAATTTAACTAAGTAAATGAGAAATATGATTTCAAGTTTTCAGGTGGATATTTCGCATAAAAAACTATCTAATATTTGTATATTTTGAACTATATGTTTATTATTTTATTCTAAATAAAAAATGCTTAATTACAATGTAGGGAGCAAAATGTAAAAAAAAAAAAAAAGTAAGTTGGGAAATAAAATATACAAATAAAAGTTGGGGACAATATAAAAATAGTTTTGTGATAGAGAAGTGATCTCTTTACTCTAATTTAGACTTATTTCATTTAATAATTCATATTTTATATTAAATTTTAACGATTCAGTTGTTAAATTAAAAGTTCTTAATACATGAATTAAGTTTAATTTTTTTAAATTATTTAAAATTTTGTTTCATTAAACTAAATTAATCGATAATCATAAAAATATTTAATACGTTGATTTGAATTAATGAAAAAAAATTAAATAATTTTCAATTTTTTTTAATTTGCTAACTTATCTATTCATTAAGAACTTTTAATTCAATCATAGAAACGTTTTAATTTGATGTAAAAAAATGAATTATTAAATGGAATAAATTGAAATAAATTTACTCTCGAAATAAGTAGACCATTCCTATAAAATGTGCAAAATAGAAGAAGGTGCAATTTATTTTCTTTATCTTGTAGATTAATATATAGACTACCACATCATCATTATCATGCATTATTATTATTCCATATTAATAATCAACTTGTTAGATTATTGGTTAACGTATTACGATAATAGTCAATTAACAAATAAAAATCACTTCAAATCATAACTAAAAATAGTAATAAAGTTGATTGATAAAATGTGCAAATAAAATAATTAAAAGACAATTTTTGAAATCATAAAAAAAATAAAGAAGAATGTACAAATAAGTCTAAAATTTATATATAAAAATATTTATCCTTTATAAACTTTATTTGATTTTACACTATTAAGCAATCAATTAAAAATTAGATTTAATGGGACTTTTGTGCTAGATGTCAACAAATTTATTATATGATATGATTAAATAATACTCATTACATTTTTTTCTTCCACTTTAATTATATGAAATAAATATTTATCCTAAAAAAAATACTTGTAAAATAAAAACATGATATATCTTGTGGCCTCAAATGATTAATTCAATAAAAATAAAAATAAATAAATAATTCAATCTCATTCTAAACTTTCAATAAACGTTTGCTTCGTTAAAATTGAGTCTCAATTTATACGTATTATAGATTTACTTTATTGATATCAATGAATTTGTTTATAATTATATTATAAATTTATTTTATAATTATAGATGAATTTACTAAGTATATTTTTTTATTAAAAATTTAAATATTTTTTAATTATATTTTTTCATTAAATTTAAGACAATAAAAATAAAATATTATTTTATCAGGTTTAGCCAACTTAACTAAATTTAATCCAGCAACTCATCATTTATTTTCAATGAAAAACTTAATCCTATCCATCTTTTGGTGATCATAGTATAACTTCAAATAAAAATAAGAGTGTTTCTCGATTATACAATAAGCATTTTTTTATTCTATAATAATTGTTGTATTAGAATAAGTCATAAAATAAATATCGTTAATTTTTTAATATAAATTTATTACTTATTTATTTATTTATATCCTTAATAATATTATATAGAAAGTGAGTTTTATGTTGTAGTATTTATAGTAAAAAAAATTAATCATAAGATTAATTTTGTAATATATTATTATTTTTAATTAATTTATTAATTTTTTTTATCTATGTAAAATAATTTAAGATGATGCTTATTATGAGATACATATAATATTTGATAACAATTTTTTTTTAAAAAAATATTCAAAGAATTTAACAAAAATTTAACATTGGTGTAAAAAAAACAAAATTTAATATAACATACATCTAGAAAAAGCTTGTTTTAATAACCATTATTTCAACTATTTTTTAAATTTATCAAAAATAAATAAAAATAATTAAAATAAATTAAAGACTAAAATATGTTATTAACCAATATAAAATAATCGAATTTTAATTTTGGTTCTGTAAGATTTTTTTTTAAAATTTTTCTAACATTTACAAACATTTTGGTCCTTATATAATAAATACATTTTAATTTTGATCTTGTAACATATATTTTTTTTAAAATTTTTATCTCTTTATTAAAATTATTATTGTTGGTCTAATTTTGTATTTTTATTTTTGGTTAGATGATCTACGGAAGACAAATAACCAAAAAGTAAAGAATAGTTTCAAATTTTAAAAAAATAAAATCATTTTTTCATAAAAATTAAAATCAGAATTTATTAATTTTATGAAGATTAAAAATATATTTAAATTTAAATTAAACAAAACACAAACTTAATTTAATCCAAAAAAAAAAAAAAATAGCAAGCACGAAGACTGCAAAATTCAAAACCCATTGAAGAAGTTGATAATAATCTTAAATAATCACAGTATGACAATATAGAGAGTTGATAATTCGAAGCTTCCCTATCGTCGTGCATGTGCATCAAATTTCAACACAACATAGAAATTTCACGCCTCCGATGGCAACCAAGAATTCCCAAATCTATCACGAAAGACAAAAGTTACAGTTCTGTCTGCTGCACTCTCTCAACTCCCTCTTTCAGGTGCTTCTTCATTTTGAATACCCATCCCACTTTTTATTCCCAATTTCGTTTCTTTTTGTATATTTCTATCGATTCACGTTTATTTCTGCTTCTGGGTCTAATCAATTTCCCTTCAATCAGCAAAAAGACGCTTTCACTCGAGCAAAACTGAACGCAATTTCCGAAAGACTCGCACTTGAAGACTCCGACACTGAAACGCGGACCCCACTATCTGTCCTTTTCAAGCCTCATCACAATGTCTTGACTGGAAACTATGATATAAATGTTCTAATTGCGGCTTTAGAAGAGAAGGGAAAGCGTGTGGTGTGGCATGATCGTAGAAATGGTGCATCTTCCATTGATCTCGATGCATCTGAGGATGTTTTGATGGGGATTGTGATCAATGTTTCGGTGACAAGGTTTGCTGGGATTTGGAGGAGTAGGCATTGGATTGCATTGAGGAAGATTGAAGGGGTTTGGTATAATTTGGATAGTGACCTTGTTGCCCCTAAACCTTTCCTTGACACAGAAAAAGTGAGGGAGTTTTTGGATTTTACATTGGCACATGGTGGGGAGGTTTTGATTGTCATGAATGAGAAACAGTCTTGAAAATTTGAAGTGAATGTTTGTAAACTCTCAGTCGTTTGTGGTCAAATTTTGTGTTCATGTGTATAGTACAAGAGTGATTGAATTTCAATGGAGAATGTAGCTTTATTCATCCTTGTGTCTCTGGTGATTTTTCATGACTTTGTTTTGTGAATAATGGTAAAAATTGCTTCAGGATTGGAGGATGATCTTAATAGGAAATAGTGTCTTGTTGTAATACACTTATAAATGCAAGCTTCCTTGTGCCTTGGATTTGCAGTGCTCCTTTGAACGATGTTTCTTGATTGTTTCATTGAATTTTAGAGACTTATTTTTCTTTCTTGAATTGTTTTTAATGCAAAGATACTAATAGCAGAATGTAAATCAGTGCTAAGCAAAGATACTATCATGGAAACTAACTACAAACATTCATTTACTCTGATTCATAATGGTCTTTGAATGAAGATTTATCTTTTCTCAGTTTCATTAAGGAGCAGATCTCCTAGTAGAGTATAGAATCTTCATTTAAAATTGTAAGAAACTATTTTTTTTTTAATGCATTCATTTAAAGTCACGTTGGCTGCATAGACTAGCGTGTAACCATCTACTATGGTATTTTTCCATACAGGCTTATGTATATTTACCTTCAAAGAACAAAAATCTAAGATATTTGTTTAATAACCACGGATGCTGTATGCTGGATATGTAACTATTTTTTTTCTTCTGCAATTGTGACCTGTAAAATATTTTCTGGCTATTGTCCATAAGTTCTTATGATCACATATCCTCTTGGTATTGTTTGTTCCATGATTTGATACTTAATGAAAGCAAGTTACCAGATAGCACTAGTTATAGCTCATCTTTATCAATTAGCCATTCGGGATATAGTATACTTGGGACAAGTGGGGGAGTAAATAGATTTATCATTTTATAGAGATAATTAATCTTCTTGTTTATCTCTTTATAATGCACAAGTTCATTCCCCTACTTTCCCAATCAAAGCATCTTACCCATTGTTGGCCTTCCTATTGTTCAATTGTAACTGATACACAGGACTTGTTAAATACTGATACAACTTGGTTTGTTTGTTTCACCGTACCATGCATCAGTTCTTTTACAAGATCATCAAAAAAATGTAAAAAAGATCAAATTTGTGGAGGATTAATTTGAAGTGCACTGTTTTGACTTGTATTTAAGTAGTCCTGGGTAAGAAAGTCCAAGTGATGCTTTCATTTTGTAAACACCAGCCAGTATAGATTTAGAGTCAATTTGAATAAATTTCTTCATAAATGCATATTAGAGAAAAAAAATGAATAAAAAAGTTAAAATGAACCAAATTTCTCTCATTAGATAGAATTCAATTTATGCATTTTGACTTATAGAAAAGTTAGATAAAAAACTTTTGAAAAAGTTGAACTGCATAAATTAATTCTTAATTAAGAGAATATTGATTCAGTTTATCTCCTTGTTTCTTTTAATTTCTTCCTTTTTAAGTATTTATTTAAAAGTGTGTCCAACCTAATGTCCTAATTATTAAAACATACTGCCAATCCATTTCATGATTGACAGATCGATTTAATAAATCATTTCATCTCAGTGGAGAATATCAAATCCTGGGCATTTCTTTTGGCATGTGGTCCAATTGTGACCATATTTGTTAATAATTTCTGATAGAAGTTAGAAGGATAACTCACCCTTACGCTGCCTATATATCGGGAAAAACCCAAGTCCCACATCGACTAGAGATTAGGTAATTGAATAGTATATAAGTGGAAAGCAACCCTCACCTTACAAGCCGATTTTGTAGGGTTGAGTTAGGCTTAATCCGCTATTCTAACATGGTATCAGAGCCATTTAGATCCACTTTAAATGGGTCACTCACCATTGATGCATGCGCCATATGCATGAGGGAGTGTATTGGGAAAAATCCAAGTCCCGCCAATCCTAAATCATTAAAAAGGGTCACCCACCATTTATCCACGTACCAAGCCCAATAGTGCTGGACGTGAGGAGGTGTACTGGGAAAAACCCAAGTCTCACATCGACTAGAGATTAGGCTTAATGGACTATTCTAACATGGTATCAGAGCCATTTAGATCCACTTTAAATGGAACTTAGGTTTTTCCAGATACTTTACCGCATAAAAATAAAAGTTGCAGCCTTTTGTTCATAAGGACCTCCAATGGTCACAAGTTTCACACCAAGTGTTGACCGTTGTTCATCTGATGAGTAGAAAATTTGATGGTGACATTAAATCATCAAACTCTATGGCATGCTGGATGACGCAATTTTACTTTCTTTTAGTCAAAAGATCTTGGAAATCATATCTTATTTTTAACTTTACAAGTTTCACACCATATTTTTATTTTACACTTTCCAAGTTTCACATTTGCCTGTAAATTTATAATTAGATCTTAGATGTCTGTTGTTTATACAACATTTTTCATATTTTACTCTATTTTATGTTAGATAATAAAACAAGAATAGCACACACATTCTTACCCTTTTGTTCTCTAATGCAATATGTTACAATTGTGAGGATTTTAATATTCAAATAACATTTTTCATTTTCCATTGCTATATGAATACCAATCATTAGTTCACACTGGATCCTGTTCTTTACAGATAAAATATTTAGCAGCAACTCGGAGCTGAGGAAAGGAATAAGAAATAAAAAAGGATCAATCCTAGTGGTGGTTTTAAGAGCATCTTCAGAGAAATGAGTGAAGGAATGTAGCCCCCACCTTCACAATATTTAAATGGGTTACTTGCTCTGAGGGTGGGATGAGTTTAGGTTGGAATGATGATTCAATTACTTTAAACTAAAAATATTCCTGCTATCTTTGATTATACTCAACTTAAATACCGCTTCTTTCTCCATTACATGGAAAAGCATAAACGTGTGCTCTGCAAAGTCACAGGGCAGCACTGCATCTGGAATAGAAAGTAATAAAGAGGGTTAGTGTATCTACAACTTTCTACACCTTTAATATGCCTTTTTCTCACCGCCTTAATCCACCTTTTATAAATATATACAAGAAATGTATCATGTGAGAGGAGAAAATTTCAACCATATAATTTAGATGGATGGTTAAGATTAAAACTAATTAAAACAATCTTTATATAATTGTATGTCCAAATTTCACTTCTCTCATCTCCTATCCTCTTATTAGACAGCTCTCTCTATATATGATTAGGAGAGTGAGTAGATGAAGTGAAAGTTAATGGAAAGAAATCAAGAGAAATAGTTTGTCTGTAGAAATGATTTTCAGCAAAATATAGTGATGTTGTTTAATCTTTATCTAACTAATCTTGTCTAGTAAGAAAACATGGTTACAATTGTCATGTTTCTTTATACTTTTCTGGATAAAACTTATATGAAATTGTTGGTATTATTCTTTAATTAAAATTGATTTTTTTTTTCAGTTATCTATGTAATAAAGAACTTTATTAAATATTAATACATATTGAAAAAAATTCCAATTTTAGTTGAAGAACAATAGTGATAATACATTATGGGACCGTATATAGGTTCAAACAGTTCTTTCACGATAAAGGTACTCATAGGAGAAATAGTGAAAGACTCGTATAAATACTTGCTTCTCCTATAAATGCTTGTTTCTCATTCACACTAGAACCTCCTTCCATAGTTCCCACCTTTACTCTGCTTTCAACTTTCAATAGCCTCACAATTCCTTTCAACTTTCAATAGCCTCACATACACTGTTTTTCATTGTTCTCTCTCTCTCTCTCTTATAATGCTATCATCACCCAAACAAGAATAAGCAACAGAATGAGTCACAGTGGCTACAACAATGAGAAAACAGGCTTGTCCTTGAGACAGAATTCTAACAGAAAATCAACTAGAAATGGGCAAGTGAAGAGCTGCATGTTCAGGATTCCTTGGCAGTCTGAGACCTCTCCCATTGACCTTGTGAAGGATCTTGCAGAAAGAGTGACACATGCTCTACGCTTGATCTCTCCAAGGAAATCTTTACACCGAGGCTCATCTTCCTTAACAAGATCAAAATCAACAGGGTCCTCTGTTGATTCTCATAGAACAGCTGCTGTTGAGGACTGCATTGAGTTCATCCACTCTTCCTTTTCTAGATCAAATTCTTCAACAACAGCACCTCGCCAAGATTCTATACAAGCTCCTTGAGTTGAGACACTTGAAATCATGTGCTTGATACTATATTTAACTGTATATCTTCCTTTCTTAATTCTTCCCACACCTCATAATGATGGGAATTAGGCCATCCTTTTATGTTTCTCACAAACAGAAGCAGTGTATATTCTTCTGATGGATTTCTTAAAAGGTGCATTTCTTTTTGGTTAAAATAGCAAGTTCCAATGAACCAATTGCAATAAACCACGTTTCTCATTAGAAATATCATGAAAAATGATTGGTAGGATTTTAACAACGTACATGCTGAAACTGAGAAATAATTACATGATTTTATAATGTCAAGGGTTAAAAAAATGTGATGATTGTATAAAATCCTTTGCCTATATATTTATTACGTTCATACTTTTCTTTCTTTTATGGATCTTTTGAAATATAATTTGTATAGAAGGTTTACAAATTTCAAATTGTAGTATCCAATATATAAGCCATGAAAAATTCACTATCTATGCATTATTTACATACAAAGATGACAGTGAGTTCTATATCGAGTGATCACTTAGTTTTAATCTTCGAGGGTTTTTAACAAGTATCAAACCTGAATGGTTTTATTTTCAGCATTTTCCAACAGATGATTGATTGATAGTTCTGAGGTTAATAGTTCAACCGTTAGATTGAAAGTTCAAAGTAAAAGGTTCTTTGCTTCAAACAAGGATAACATTTCGTACCACTTGCCCCGTTTTTGAAGACATTGGATCCCGTCTATAAGTTTGGAACTTTTGAAACTTAATTCCATCTAACTTTTGGAACTTTTCCATAAATGAATTGGATTTAAGTAATTTAACTTCTGATATCATCAACAAACATAGTGGACCATAATCCCAATCATCTTCACTTAAAGCAACAATATCAACTAGATCTTAAAGCTAATTGCATAACTAAATCAACTTCAGTTTTAATGAATTTCCCATAATCTAAATATAAAGCAAGAGCTTTTGAATTGTCAAACAGATTGTGCCTGCTTGGTAACTGAACCAATTTGTTGAATAAATTCCAGAGCCCCAAAAGAGAAAAAACAACTCAGTTAAAAGGTACATGGACAGTAAGGAACATAATGCATGCATTTGAATAAGCACATGAATGGAAACTACTTCAATTCTTGGCAA